GAATCTGATAAAGGAGGAGGGGTCCTCACAGGGGAGGAGGGAAGCTGGTGGGAGGGAGCAGCAGAGAGCACCAGACACAGGAACCGCCAGGTGTGTGTGGTGGGGGTAGCATTTCTACCCTCAGCTCTCAGCACCTAGCCAAATGCCTGCTGTGCCCACTTGCCCTGGGCCACTGGGCCCAATCCTGAGTCCCCTGAACCTCTGGGACCTACCATGTGCCAGGGACTGCACGTTCTTTCATTATTTATTTTAAAAATGTTATTATTTGTATTTTAATTTATATTTTTATTACATATAAAATTACATTTTTATTAGTACATGTTTATGGTACATAATGATTGCATCAGTCGTGGAGAGTTGGTACATGTACATAACACATCCTGAGTGTTCTTTCATTTAATCGCCCCTACAACCTGTGAATACAAAGTCTGCTCTTTGCTGTTCTGCACTAACTTTTCCTCAACGAATACCTACAGCTTTTGCAATAGAAAAAGTATTTTCTTCTTAAAAATAAAGTAAACTGGGTGCAGTGGCACATGCCTGTTAATCCTAGGCACTCGGGAGGCGGAGGCAGGGAGAATTGCAAGTTCAAGGTCAGTCTGGACAACCCAGCAAGACCCTGCTTCAGAACCACATGGGCCGAGGAGAGAGGCAGAGACAGAGACAGAGATGCGTAGGTATCATCCTGCTTCCCAGATGAAGAGACTAAGGCTTGGACCTGCCGGGCATCCTGCCTAGGGCTGGCAAGGGCCAGAGGTCCCTGTTCCTGTCATCATGAGAGGCTCCAGTGTCCTAGAGGAGACCACTGCAAAGCAACAGAAGGTGCTGCCAGTCACCAGGGCAGCCGAGTTGGGAACCAGCACCCAGAAAGAAGCAACCTCCACAGCACACTGGGCTCCGCGCAGCAGCCTACGTCCCCTTCCCCCACGACTCACCTGTCTTGGCCGACACCGACCAGTACTCAGCCTGCATCTCATTGGCCAGGTGCACAGCCTCTGCTTCAGCCTGCTCACACGCTGCTCCTGACTGGGAGAAGCAGCCCTCGCTGACCCGGGGCCCAGCCCTCCGACAGGTGGCCCCTGGGGTCACAGCTGCCCCCTTCTCCTCCTGGCACCTCCCTCTCCACCCTCACTCCCATTTTCCCCTGGAGCAGGCAGGGCGGTCCCAGTGCAGGGATACTGCCTGCCTAAGGGAGACACTTTAGTGGTCCTCGGGCAGATCTTGAGTGTTAGCAGCCCTGCTCTTAGGAGAGAGCACAGGGAACCTGGGGTCCCCTGACTTGCAGCTCTAAGGCCTGTGATCTTTGAACTGTAGGCATGTCCATGTCACACACTGCTCCTCATACTTGGGCTGCAAGCATGTGCATTTTCCCAAGAGGCACCCAGGCTTCCAGCTCTGGCCTGCTCACCAGAAGGTCCTTTTTGGTTCCCACGAGGAAGATAAAGCAGGATCCCACCTCGTTTTCCCTTAGGGCATCCTCCAGCCACTGCCTATAATGCACAGAGGGGAGACAGCCTGAAGGACATCTGTACCCACCCACTTAGGGGGCGTAAGAAAGCCCAGGGGATGGGATAGAGACTCAAGGCCCTTCCCAGGGCTGGAAGCACAGAGTTGGGAGGCAGAGGGAGGGCCCTGGCCCACACTAGCTAAGTGGGATGCTAGTCTTGCAGCCATGGCCTCGGTGGGGTCCGAAATTGGTTGGGAATACAAAAGCATTGGTCAGATAATGAAGATACATCCTCATCCTTCGAGCCTTTGGGTGACTCCTGTACTTTATCACCTGGAATGGATTACTCATGGATCCCTCACAGGGTTTAGAGGCAACTGGGTGTGAATGCCCCAAAGAAAGGGGGTGAGGCGGTCTTTGGCAGAAGCAGGACGACCTCTTGGAACTGGTCACGCTGTTCACATCTCTGCCCAAGACAGCAAGGGCCAAAGTCATGTCCCTTCAGATGGGACTGGCTATACAATTATCAGAGCCCAGGGAAAAGGGAACATTTAGGGTCTTTCCTTCAAAAATTGTGAGGACTTCCAAGGTGGTGACAGCAGGGTATCAAAACAAGCACAGGTCCTGCAGGGCCCTACTATCCCGGTGCAAATGCCCCCTTGAGGAGTAAGGAGGCAATGGGACAAAAAATACTTTATGGGCAGTCGGTCTTAACACATGAGCCCAAATCCACCATAAGGGGATCAGTTCAGCGGCCTGGGTCTGCAGTGCCTTTTCTGGCAGCTTCCTGAACCCAGGTGCCCCAGAGGGGTCACAGAGTCTGGGATTACTTACCTGGTGTGCTCCAGAGTCTGCACATCAGTGAGGTCAAAGGCTGTGATGATCACTGGACACACAGGGGAAAGCAAATAGCAACTGTGTGACAAAGGGGACCTCTCCCTCAGGCACTTCTCCAGAGCTTGAGGGACTTCCGTGTGGTCCCTGCCACTCAACTCTGGACCCCAAAGTGCCATCCTCCCACCTGTACCTAGCAGCCCAACCTAAGCGTGAAGTCCAGGGAGGACAGATGAGGCAAGAGTGGAACCTGTATGTGGACTTCGGCATCAGAGATCCTTTGCCCTTTACGGAAAGGGAGCTTGAATGAAGCCCTTAACTGCTGAGAACCTCAGTTTGCCCATCTGTAAAATGACGAGAATGATATATCTAGCTCTTGGGGTTGCTGTGAAGGCAGCTAAGTTTTTTGTTTTGTTTTTTTTCGGGGGGGGTACTGGGGATTGAACTTGGGTCCTTACGCTTGCAAGGCAGGTGGCAGCACCACTGAGCTAAATCCCCGGCCCTGTTTCTTTGTTTTCATTTTTGTTTGTTACTGGGTATCAAAGTCGGGTTCTTGTGCTTGTGAAGCAGCCACTGGAACCACTGAGCTAAATCCCCGGCCTCCTGTTTTGTTTTTTTGTTTGTTTTCTTTTGAAACAGGGTCTCACTATGTAGTTGAGATTGACCTGGAACTCACTATGTAGCCCAGGCTGGTCTCAAACTCACAGTGATCCTCCTGCCTCAGCCTCCCGAGTGCTGGGATTACAGGTGTGCGCCACCATGCCTGGCCCCGTTTGTTTTTAAAAGGCAGCTATTTTGAAAAGCTTTTAGTCCATGGCCTGACCCAGGGCAGACTCTTCAAAATTAATTAATTAATTAACTAATTTTTGAGGTACTGGGGATTGGACCCAGGGCCTTCACACTAAGCTACATCTTCAGTCCATTTCTTTATTTATTTAGAAACAACGTTGCTCTAAATTTGCTAAATTGCCCAGACTAGGCTGGAATTTGTAATTCTCTTGCCTCTGGTGTGTGCTTCCACACCTGTAGAGACTTTGAATCAAAGGCAGCTATGGCTGTGATCACAATTAGCAACAACCAGACTAAGGAAAATGACTTCCAGAGATATGGCCTTGCTGTCAGCTCCTCTTGTCACTGGCCCCGCCTCGTAGCCGTGGCGTGCGGGCCAAAGGTTTGCTCTCTACCGGTTCCCCGGGGTGTGAGCAGTGGCTTCCTCCACCCTGTGGCTAATGACTGCTCTCCGGACATAAGGGAACAGAGAAAAGGTCACTGATAATATGAATGACAGCAGTCTGGCTGCTGTTTGCAGAGTTGTGCCAGGGACTTTACAGCTGTAGCCCTGGGGAGGGGGCAGAATGTCCTTGGGAAAAGAGAAGATTGGAGAGGCAAAAGCTGAAGAAGTGAATGTGAATGTGGCTGAGCTGGAGCCCCAGTCCTCAGCTGAGATACTCATGGTTCATTGCCTGTTTCTGTTCCTTTCGAATGTGATCAAGCCGCTGTGATTCTTACACTTCTACTGAGTACACGTAACTGCCTCGAGTCTGGTTTGGGATCCTTTTTACAGTTCTCTCACATCCCACTGAAATCCTTTTCTGTCTTCTTCCTTGGAGGCCAGGGTCGGTGTGGTGAGCTTACGCTGCCAACTTTGCTGTGAGCCCTGCCCAGCACGTAGGCTGTACTTGGCCACGTTGGTGGTGGGCACTGAGCCCTGTTGACCCCTGCCTGGGACCTGCCAGTCCTGCCAGCGTCCACCTTTCATTCCTCCTCTCTGGCTTAGCTTCTTCCTCCTAAAATAGGACAAGCCACTGCCTACCTCCTCTTGGAATGTGATGCTGTCCTTCTTTCCCAGAATCGCTGAACAAATACATTCATCTCTCAGACTCTTTCTAATATGAAAGCTGGGGCTGTGATACACAGCTAGAACCCACCACTACTGGCTCCCTAAAGCCTCCACAACAGCCTGCCAAAGCAGGCCAAGGCCCCAGCTTGGAGGCGGCTTTTCTACTCCCCTCCACTGAGCCCAGCGGGGAGGCTCCTGCTCCACATCCCACTATCACACAGTTGCTTACCCTGGGCACCCCGGTAATAGGCAGACGCGATACACTTGAACTTCTCCTGTCCGGCCGTGTCCCAGCTGAGCCATGAAGAAAAAGAAAGGAAAACAGTGCTGATAGGTTAAGCAATCACAGTATTCTGAGTCAACAGGCTAGTGGGCCCGTGGAAGGGAGACTTGAGGATAGGCACAGCTGTGCCAGCTGTGTGGGCTTCAGGAAGTGCTTGTACGAGCCAGCTATTCTGCCTCCAGCTCCCGGTGATCCCTCTAGAACTGCCCCAGGGGCATTCTCTTGCTGGATTCACAGTGCCTCTGGGGTAGGAGCAGTTCCGCTGCCAGATGACTGGAGTTGGAGCTCAGTCCCTTCTAACTATGACACACATGCTGAGATTTATTTGCTCGGGTTTATAAGAAGGCAAGTGGTCGGTATGTAAGGATGAGCCTGAAATCCTATAGCCAATCCATCCTTAAAGCCAACAGGTCAGAATTTAACTTTTCTCAGTAAACTGAACAGGAGACAAATCATGAGTATGAATGGTCTGAGAATTTTTTCAAGTGATCTGGCATGACGCAGACTTGCTGGCTATGTCCCTTTACTAATCCACTCATCTCTTCCTTCATCTCAAAAGAATACTCTGGAGAAAATGAGGCAGAACAGTGTCCCTGTTTTGCCCTGGTCTCTCTAATCGGATACAGCCTGCAGCCACAGTGAGAGCCCAGCCATTAGCCACTGCCTACATGGTTCCACCTGGACCATCACCCCTGGCCCTTTTCTTTCTCAGCGTTCCAGATCCTTGAGTCCCACAGCCTGGCGTTTTCCTAGCCTCTTTTGCTTACGACTGACCCTACAGTCACTCTTGGAAAAGATGTGGCATCACCTGGCTCCGGAACTTCACTGCAGATTAGGCAGAGTAAGGACTACTGAAGAATCAACCCAGTGAGGAAGACAGGAAAGACAAGCGGAGGACAGAGGTGGAAGGAAAGAACAGCAGGGGAGTGCGAGTTACCTCCTGAAGGAAAGGGTGTGAGGCGGACGAGGAGCACATCAGGCCTGAGGCAGGGAGGTAGACGGCGCGGCCTCTGCCAAGATCCTCCTCAACCACGCCCAGCACACAGGGACTAATCAAGTCCTGCTTCACAGCTGGGAACAGGCTCAGCGCTAACAACGTGCAGAGTCCACCTGCCTTCTGCAGGCTCACAGGAGGTCCAGTGGGGAGGAGGCCATGGGGGTGGGAGGACAGGTTAGGCTGTGAAGGCCTTTCCCTGCTCTGTCAGGACCAAGGAGCATCCAGGAAATGTGGGAGCCATGAAGCCTACTTTCGCACAACCAGCCCAGGCCCTGCTTGTCTAGACAGGACCTCGCTGAGCACAGTGAGGCAGAGGGGATGAAGGGCTGCCCAGGACCTTTTCCCAGGGTCTCCAGGAAGCCCACCCTTCCATACGGGAAGTGGCACCACACAATGGGAGCTTACATTTGGAGGCTGTAGGGAATCCCAGCAATCTCAAAGCGCTCGATTTCAAAGTCCACCCCAATAGTGGCCTTGTAGTCCCGATCAAAAACATTCTTGCAGAACCTGTGGGGGTTGAGGATATCAACAGAGAGGTGCCATGGAAGCTTTGTTCATTGAAGGTTGGCGCCACAGTTAAAATGTGGAGGCAAATAAAGTCCACTGATAGAGAACTGAGGAGGACATGGGTAGAGGTATGTTAGTCAGCATTCCGTCACTGTAACACATACCAAGACAATCAACTTATAAAGAGAAAAGGTTTTGTGGGATCACAGTTTTAGAGATTTCAGTTCATGACTGATTAGCCCCATGGCTTTGGGCCTATGGTGAGGCAGCCCATCATGGTAGTGCATATAGCAGAATAAAACCGCTCATGTTGTGAAGCAAAAAAGGAGGAAAAAGAAGGGGCCAGAGTCCCACTGTCCCATTTGAGGGCATCTTCCCAATGACCTAAAGACCTCTTACTAGGTCCCACCATTTAAAGGTTCTATTAGCTCCCAATAGTGCCATAGCTGGGGACCAAACCTTTAACATGTGCACTCTGGGGACACCTATCTAACCCATAGCAACAGGGCAGTGACAGCCTGTGACATCCTGGAAGGCAAACACTGTTAAGTTTGCTTCCCCAGCACCCCTCATCACTGTAAGATGACTGAGTCTTTTCCCAAGGAGGGCAGTGGAGGGGTCAGCAGAGATCCGAGGCAGACAGTGTAATATGTCAGTCACCTGGGATGCCCTACTGTCTTGCCAACCCCACCATCTCCATGATTTCTTGCCCTTCCTCCCACCAGGCTCCCACCAGGCTGAGGCAGTGGCCCAGTTCCCAGTGTTCCCACAAGGGTTCCACAAGGTTCCACAAGGTTCGAGCCTGGTGCTGGTGCTGGGAGGTGTGGCTGACCCGACTGGAGGAAGGAAGCTATCAGGGCATACCTGTGGATGAGGCTGGTCTTTCCTACATAGAGATCACCAACAACCACCACCTTGGAGAGTCTGAGCCTGGAAGAAATACGGCTGTGTCACCTTCAAGCATGGTTTTCAGAGCATTTTTAACACACACAGGCCTTTCCTCTCCTGAGCTCTCTGTGGTGACCCACCCTTCAATCCTGGATATAAGAAAGACCCTGCTATAGTGACACAATTTATTGTGGCTAAATCTTAAAAGTGGCCTATATGGCCATCAACACATGATGAATAAAGAAAATATGGTATTTATATACAATGGAGTACTGCTGTGCCATAAAGAAAGAGAAACTTGAGTTATTTATAGCAAAAAGGAGACTAATATGTTGAATAGAATAAATCAGACACACCAGCTTATGTATCACATGGTTTGTGTTATGTGAGAAACCAAAAGTAAAAGTAAAGAGTAAAATAAAAGGTAGATAACAGGAAGTAAGGAGTTAGATCTTCTTCACAGGGGAAGGGGATCAAGAGTTGAAAGTGGGGAGGGAGAAGAGGGATAAGGAATGCAAAAAAGGAACTAAGATGTGTTACATACATTTACCCATTCCCCACAAGGAACGTAAACATTATGCACTACTAAAAAAAAAAAAAAAAAAAAAAAAAAAAAAAAAATAAAAAAAAAAAAAAAAAAAAAAAAAAAAAAAAAAAAAAAAAAAGACCCTGTTGAGTCATTCTGTCCCACCTTCTTGGCCTTCAGAAGGCACAGGGAAACCCTGTATTTTTTTCTTGGAACTTTCTGTCCCTGGGGCCTTACATCTGATCTCATTTGGCCAAAGTCACTGTCTTAAGAATTCAAAATCAGCATGAGGAGAGGCAGAGTCATAGACTAAGCAAGCAGAGGCAAGAGCACCGGCGGGGCTATAGTAACTAGGAGGATCATGAACGGCAGACACAGGACACAGGTAGGCAGGCAGCCTCTGCATCCCTCACCGCACCCCCTGGGGCTGTCCACCCATGTGACGTGAGCTCGGCTCCTTGCAAACAGGCACTCCTTGACCAGGACCCCACTGTCACCTGCGCACTTAAAAGTGTTTCTAAGGATCTGATAAGCCAAGAGGTGTGCAGTGGTTAGAACTCAGGATCTGCATGTTGGGGCTGTGGCTTGAACCAACTCAGCTCTGAGGTTCTTGGGCTCCTTGGGGGACTCAGTGAAAGAAGCTACTACCCTTACTCTGTGGATGTGCATCCTACATTCTGGAGACCAGCATTTTTGGGATTGCTGACAACACTTTAAAATTCTGTACAAACTGGAGCATGGTGACACATGCTTGTAATCCCAACTACTCAGAAGGCTGAGGCAGGAGGATTGCAAGTTCAAAGTCAGCTTGGGTAATTTTTTTTTTTTTTTTTTTGGTACGGGGGATTGAACTCAGGACCTTGTACTTGCCTGGCAGGTGCAGTGCCGCTGAGCTACATCCCCATCCCTCGCTCAAGGTTAAAAAAAAAAAAAGAGAGAGACCAGGAATGTAGTTTAGTACTCTCTGGCATTCATTCCCCAGTACTGGCAGAAAAAAATAATTTCTGCAGCTCATCCCAAAGGACCTCAATGATCAAAGCAACAAACCTGGGCAAACATCTGACAGAAACTTCCTTGGCTTGCAAGCTATAAGTAGTCCCGTCTGTAGCACGCGGTACCCTGGCCTACGGTTTACCTCCACACATGTAAAGACAGTGGCTATGAGTACCCTGCTCCCAGGCTGCCCAAACCCTCTGGAACAGGTTGGCCCTGATTTTATTTTTCAGGTGAAGAAGTAAAGGCACTGCCAGGACCCTATGGTGGGCACCAATGTGCTTCTGTTTCCCTACCTCCGGTGCTGTAGTTAAGAGGCTTCTGGGTGAAGTCCCTGATGTGGAACGCATTCCCCAGCTGATGCTATTACTCTTTTCCCATGAATATTACTGTTTTGGCCATTCTGACTGGAGCTCTGCCTCCCCTGTGCAGCCTCCGGAACCTCCAAGCTGGGCTCCTGAACAGACTGTGAGTTCTTCAGGATGAAGGACAAATCAAGCCCTTCTGTTTCTTAAAATAAAGGACGACTGAAAAATTCCTGCGCCAGCAGTGATAGGTGCTGCCGGGGCAGGAACAGGACAGACATCCCTGGCCCTGACAAGGAATCCAGATGGCAACACTGTGATTCTGTGGCATAAGTTTTGGGGCTCAGGAGCACACAGGAAGAGTACTTGCTCATCTCAGGCTAGGGGCAGGGGCAGCATGGATTACAGAAGCCTTTCAAGGACCTGACACACTGGTACCCAAAGAAGGAGGGTAAAAAAGATGTTCCAGACAGAGGAAACAGACCTTTCCTGAGACCTCTGGCCGAAGAGCCCCATGTATTACATTCTGAGAAAAGGAGAAGTTGTTTCACATGGCAGCGTGTGTCAAGCAGAGCCAGACAAAAACCCCAGTCCTGGGTTGCATATGCCTAGTCTATGTGTTTCATTTGTTCATTTTTCATTCACACATTCATTTGCTTATTCCTTCTGGCCATCTCTCCCCCACACCCCAAGTCCCACAGGCTCACCCAACAGTCCCAGTGTTCCTGCGTTGGCAAGCCGCGCTGACCTGCCTGTGGAAATGCTCCTTGAGTTGCAGACAGGCATCAGGTGTGTACCACTGCAAAGAGACAGACAGACAGACAGGCACATCCTCCTGCAAAGCTGCAGCCCTCTCACTGAAACCAGGAACCATGGCGGTAGTCTACCTCCTCCTCTCTCCTGAGTGTCCAGGCTCTCAGCCTCATTAGCTTTGCCCGTTTCTTGTCACACTGCCGGCCACAGAGTAGGTAGTATGAACCGATTTCAGAGACAGGGGAACAGGCACACAAAGCCAAGGGAAAGACTTGCCTTAGCAGGCACTACATGGGCTCAGCCTGACCTGACTGAGAACTCCTCAGGTCTGAAGTGGTGTGGCCCTGGGGTGGAGGGCAGACTTGGCTAGCGGTTGTCTGTGATCCCTGATGAATGCAGACAGGAGGGACAGAACCCCACCTTCTGTGAAAACAAGAGGGATGCCCCAAGCTGCCAGCCCAGGGTAAGGAGGTCTAGAGTCAGACTCGGCCAGGACAAATACCAGCTCCACAAAGCCTGGCTGGTGACATCAGGCAATCCTCCCTATCTCCTTGAGCCTCGCTGTCCTGCTCTATAAATGGAGTCCTTTGTCCACAAGACCTGGACTGTTTTACGCCAATTGTGCTTCCCTTTCTTTCAGCTCATAAAACACCAGCCTCTGTCACCCTTGTGACTGTCAAGCTCCACAGGAAAGGCAATGGCTCGAGCTGTGTTGTAATGGAAAATGTGGGGGAATCATCCACAGGGGAGGCATGAAGACCTTCCCTGTGAGTGTGTAGAGAAGGATCTTGGCAGGGGAGTAAGAGGGGATGGCTGCAGACCAAAAATATCCAGAGGCTGCAGCCACCTTCTTCCTCCTCACCAGCCTGGACATAAAATCTAAAAGACCATTTGGTGGACAGGTCTCCCTACATGCCAGCCCCGAGCCAAATGTGGGCATCTACTGACAGCAGGGTCTTATGTAATCTTCAGAAATATCTTATGCATGTATTAACAACACAGACATTTCTTTTCTTCTCCTTTTTCTTCAGTTCTGAGGATCAAGCCCACACCCTTGTGCATGCTAAGTATGTGCTCTACTACTGAGCTACACCCCCAGCTCATCTCCAGTTTTATATGCATGAGCGTACACTACACACACTTGACCACACACCTCTCCATCCCCGGCATTTTACCTAACAACTTACTTTGACCCTCACTGGCACTCGGAAGAGGTGTCTCATTCTTCCTTATGTCCATGTCAGAAGTAGCATCGTCTCTTCAACCAGCCTCCTCTCTGAGGACACTGACATGTCTGACCTCCTCTTACTCACTGCTGCAATACCTGGCCTGGTGAACATTCTCAATCCATGCCAGGGTCTCTACAGAGTAAATTTCTAGAAATGGAATGGCTGCCTCAGGGCGAAAAGGCGCTTGCAATGTTGGTAAATACAGTTCTGCAACTGCCCAAAAGAGATCATTGATTTGCATTCCTGGCTGCATTTAATACTAGATTTTTTTTTTTTGAGGCAGGGTCTCATTATGTAGTTGAGACTGACCTGGAACTCACTATGTAGCCCAGGCTGGTCTCAAACTCACAGCAATCCTCCTGCCTAAGCCTCCCGAGTGCTGGAATTACAGGCGTGCACCACCATGCCCAGTTTAATACTAGATTTTACTAAAGACAGAAAAGAGCTGTGAACTTTCAGCAGAAGGGCAAGGGGAAAAGACCTGGACTTGGGGTCTAGAAGTTGGAGTGCCATGGTATTAATTTTTAAATCTTCTTGTGGTATTTGGGATCAAACCCAGAGCCTGGCACATGCTATACAAGTGCTCTATTACTGAGCTACACCTTTAGCTCCTAGAGTGCTATTGTGTGTGTGTGTGTGTGTGTGTGTGTGTGTTTTGGTACTGGGGATCGAACTCAGGACCTTGTGCTTGCAAGCAGGTGGCAGCACCACTGAGCTAAATCCCTGGCCCTTCCTAGAGTGCTATTTTGATAACAGTAATAATAATGAGAACAGTAGTAACTACACACAACTTCAAGGGAGTTCCTGTTTCCAATCAGCTAGGCAGACAATGTGAGAAGAAACATCCTCAGGTAATAGTGGCTTTAAGAGTGAGTAACTCGTCACCGGTCATAAAACTTAATGACAGAAGTCTGAGGATGTAGCTCAGTGGTGCCATGCCTGCCTGGCAAGTACAAGGTCCTGAGTTTGATCACCAGTACCAAAACAATAAATAAATAAATAAAAAAGAAACATGACAAAATCAAGATTCCCACGTAGGACTATCTGACTTATTAATTTCCATGCCACACTGCCACCCTGTCTCACCACCCAGTCTGCTTGCTTCTCAAGAAGACAGAACTCCTGACCCACCTGCTTTATTTCTGGGGGTGAGGGTAAGCTAGAAAATCCAGGTATGATTTCAAGATTGGAAGAACAGTACAAATAAAAAGGGGTGGTCTAATAACTGTACCTTAGGAAGGCTGTCAATGATGCGGTCTCGGCTCACAGGAGGCCCCAAAGGTGTCAGGGAGGATCGCATTCTTCCAGAGTCCTGTGGACCCAGCGAGGGGAAAGAGAATGTTAAATGCATTTGTAGGTGGTCATTGTTTTGGATTAGCCTACTGCATTAGGTCCCAACAGACCAGATCAGGCCAGATGGAATCACTCAGGCTAGGTGTCACATGATCAAACTGGACTCTGAACTGGACCAGTTAAACAAAAAACAAAACAAGAGGTTCACAGCAATCAATCAAAATCAGTTTACCTTAGCTAGCATGATAAAGAAGTCTCCTTTATTTTATTTATTCATTTTGGTACAGGGAATCAAACTCAGGGTGTTGGGCTTGCCAGGCAAGCACTGAGCTACATATCCCTGGCCCAAGTCTCCTTTGTTTTAAACCTAAAAAGTAACTTTGAAATAACCAATGTGCTCTTCATTCTGTTTCTGCTTTCCTTAGTCTGTTTATAAAATTAACCTCCTTTGCTCAGCTCATCAGAATACTCAGTGTATCTAATAGAATGATGGGTCGCCTGATTCAGAGTGTGTGTGTGTGTGTGTGTCTGTGTGTGTGTGTCTGTGTGTGTGTGTGCACGCTGCTCCATCCTGCCTGAGTCTGAAGACCCGGTTCTTTCCCGAACAAACATCTAGCAGGAGGGGCTCCCTCTCTTAGCTTTACCCAGGGTTGTGATCTGGCCCCAAACCAGGCTTTGGATCACAGCTCAGGTAGTGAAAGTAGAGTCAGGAGAAGTCTGTTACTCCTACTTTCTGAAGGACGACGGCTTTGAGTGGCCTGGGGGCTTTAGGTTTCAGGCTTTTTCCGTTGTTCTCACCCAGCCTGGCCCTTCAAGCTTATGCAACATCCCTCCATATTATTTTCACGCTCTGCTTCCTCTCGCTCTACTAAGGCCCCAACCAAGGTCAGTTGTCTTTCCTCATCTGACCTGACTATCCTCCGGGAACAGCGCAAGCCTGACACGGCGGGCGCTCAAGAAATGAGGAAATCCGGGGCTGTAGGTCGTATTCAGGTTCTGGGGCTGGTAGTTGGGCGGGGAATAGGGCGTTCTCGAGACCACAACCTCTGGATTGTGTCTGCACCCGGGCGTGCCAAGGGTCGGACAGAGAAGGCGAGTGGACTCACCTACCACGCCTGCGAAGACTCGGGGCTCAGCGCGGCCTAGTACTGCAGGGCGGCGAGGAATCACCAAGGCAACGCGGGCCACGCGGGACCCGCGGGCGTTCGACGAATCCCGGACGCTGGGGGCGGGATGTGGGCGGACTGACTTTGGAGAGAGTCCGACAAGCTGTCTGCACAGACGATCACCATAGCAACTGGCGCTTCCCAGGGGTCTGGGCCAGGTCGCTGGAGGAGAGACTTCCGGCCGTTGCCGGAGAGCGGAGATCGCCATGGCAACGAGTAGGTTGCCGGATAGGCGGACAGTGGGCGGGACCAGGTATCCCATTGGCTGGAGTTGTGCTCTGGAGCGGTTTCTGGATGGGCCTGACCTTAGAGGGCTTCGCCAGAGCTCCTCACTCTGGACATCACGTCGGAATGGAAGAGTGGTAGCAACCATGGTACAAGAACTCTTGCTGTACTGCAATACAATAATACTGTATTGATATTTGGTCAGAGTCAGGCACCGTGCCTTGGCAAGGGATGGACGTGCTTTGTGTCTACCATCTCCTGACAGTAAAGCGTAATTCTGGATCCAATGCTCTCTGAAAACCATACAGTGGGCTGCTAGAGCTCATACTGCAAAATTAATTTCCTTGACTAACGGGTGTTAAAACTCGTGCTGACTTTAACCACAGCACTCCTGTGAGTTAGCTTCGTTTTGGAAAGTGAGGTGTGTGGATCTAGATGGTCTCCAAGCCCCTTATTTTCAAAATCAGGTTCAGAGAAGTGTAGGGTTCCCAGCTTTGAGAACCAACTTGATTCAGCCCTACCCCGTTAAACAAAAACTATGACACACAATCAAAGGGATTTGCCTAGTGAATTAAAACTACAATTGGGACTCGTACTTTGTGTGTGTGTGTGTGTGTGTGTGTGTGTGTGTGTGTATGTGTTTGGTACCGGGGATCAAACTAAGGACCCTGTGCTTTCGAGGCAGACACGGTGCCACTGAGCTAAATCCTACTCATATTTCTTGACTCCCAGGTCAGTGCTCTTCACAGTAACTCCCTTAAAAAAATTAGGATGCTCTGAGTTGGAGAGATCCTTTAGAACTTGATCCTTTGAAGGATTGCAAGAGGGCATTGGATTCTGTACACAGATCTAAGTGTTCTTCAATTTAAAACTAATTGTGTTAGAGGCTAATGTTTGATGCCTTTATTAATGAATTTATTGCTAAGGTACCGGGCTTCGAGGGTGAACTTAGGTGAGTAGCTCTGGTTTCTGAATCTCAGTCTACTTACTAGCTCTAAAATGTCCTATCTACTTCAAAGATTTCTTGTGAGGATCACTTGAGATGGTAGAAGTGCTTTTAGATTGTAAAGTTCTATTAACTATTCATTTGTTTTACACTTACCAAAAGCCTCCTGACATATGCCTGGTACTGGGGAGGCAAGAAAACAGAATTGACATATCTACCTTCAGAGAAGTTACAGTCTGCTGGATTATCAAAAGTAAACAGGGGGCCGAGGTTACAGCTCAGTGGTAGAGCGGTTGGCTAGGATACTCTAGGCCCTGGCTTCAGTCCCTGGAACCCAGGGGGAAAACGCAATTAAAGTTGAGGGAGGAATGTGTGCCATGGGCTAATTAAGTGATGAGATCCCTACTAACTTGGGTTTGAGAAGGATGGCTTATGGGGAAAGTGTCCACCAACTTGCTTTCTGGAGGACAAAGAGGTCATGAGAATTACAGACAGCTCACGCTGCAGGAGAGAGCTGGCCATTTCAGGGATTGAGAGCGAGTCCAGAGTGGCTGGAAGAAGCCACCCCTTACGACTTGGGTGTAAACTAGGAGTGCGTGGGTGTGCGTGCGTG